ACACGATTTTATCCTTTCGGAGCATATGAGTTTCAAAATGCGCCACTGAGGGTAAGAGAGACCTTGCGGACTTATGAGCCCTTGGTTCCTATACTCCTCAACCAATGCGGGACTAACTAACTTTATCACTCACAACCAGATGTCACCGGTGTGAGGGCATGCAGCTTTCACCTAAACTTGACAAATTTGTCCAATGTATCAAAGGCTGCAAACAGCAAAAAGTTCTACTATTTTGTTATATGAAAGCTTGTAAAAAAATATATTTGAAATTGCAATAATTAGGAACAATATCTCCTTTTCTGTTACAGATTAATTAGAAACTCCATTCTCGTAATTCACATGAAACTCGCCCGACGAGTTAAAAGATATAATTTTGTCAAAATCAATGTTCCGTGTACACTTGAAGCGAAAATTAATTAGCTGATGGTGAAAATAATATACCTGGCAATCAGGTTGATCATCTCTCTGTGGAAATTCCCCGCTGTACTGAGTGGTCTGCAGGAACAAATCAAATGCCACATGAATCAACAATATCCAGTGAATAAAACCTTATTTGTCCTCAATAATAAAAAAAATCAATGATCAGCAGTGGTCCATCCCAAAGTTTCTAACCAAGTTGCGATTAGCAAAACTCGGAGATAAAGTAAATTTCTCGATCGTTACATTAAGATGCGTCAGTAGAATTAAATTTTACATATCAAACAACAGGAGGATCAACTCAGGAACATGAGAAGCATCAACAACTAAAGAACGAGGGGAAGAGGACAAAATGGGACCGAACCAAAGTAGAAACCACCTTCACTGTAATCGGGCGAGGCATCGGAAGAATTGGAAACAGCATTGTGTGTGACATTGGGCATCATCGAAAGCGGGGATCGGACCGAAACCCCCACCGATCCCCGCCCCTTCGCCTGCCATCGACTGTCGGCGCAATGTTATTGGACGATCCAAGACACCGGCGTTTTGGAATTGCGGCCGGCATCGGCCGAATCCGTATGGAATCTGCAGGCAGAGCGGCTTCGGTTCAGCCTTTCTTTCCGTATGGAGAATACGAGAAAGATAGGCTTCCCGACGAAGTCTGCAACTCGGCGGATCGTTCGGGCGACCGCGCTCTCGTCTTTTCTCTCTTCCCTTCAGCTTCCATCGGAATGCGAAACGGGGGAGGCGAGCATTGCGATTGGGGACGGGTGGGGTATTAGCTGAGGCATCGGATCGGGTCATACTACCGTCGATCTTGATCTTTTGTAAAGTCAGCAACACATCGAGAGATCAGATAATATCTGGACTCTTCAGTCCATCATCGGGTTCGAATCGGATTAGAACGTTCTTCCTTCTTTATTGGACGATTAACCTATAATTAACCCCTCTTCCAATGCTAAATCTGAGATGGAGAGCATGCAGACGATGATTGGATGAGGGCGTGTGCCTGTTGCGTGTGGAACACGTACTAAAACGAGCGCGCATGTGGAAGGTCGGATAACCATGAATTCCAAATTATACATCTATGACATTATTGCAAAGCCCAAATTAATTAGCCATAGAATAAGCTATACGAATAGTTACGGTACGATGAACTCATGCTTTGGGATACTCTTTTGACATCATGCTGATGCAAAGCTGACGACAATCCATGCACGCACACGTATCATGCACGTTGGAACGGGTCGTCTTCTCCACGTACTCAAGAATGAGACATGAAAGAATTAATGCAGCCAATGTGATGGGTGTGTCCTATCTTGTGATGGTACTTCCCTACGACGAGACTGCTCGAGGAACAGGAATAGTGCCATGTACCTAATTTGACTAGAACTGGTTTCGAGTAAGCTTTTAGCACAAAAAAGTCCTCCTCTAACCACAATCTATTTCACTATTCTGGACTTTAGATTCCTCTACGTGACCTCTATTCTTATGGAACTTCCAGGCAACTGGTGATTGCTGTTTTGAATGCCAATATTTTCATTGCTTCATCAATGAGAATGAGATCAGAAGTCAACGAGTCAGTGTGATAGTGGTTCATATCAAAAATACCAAGAAGACTTGTATGAACTTGTGGTTAGATAGATCTATTATTACTAAATTACACTCATAATTTAGACTATAGGTTTAGTTTAATCAAACCAATAGATCTAGTCATGATAAATGATATTAAGTATTGGATATAGAGAGATGGAAAGAGATTGTAATACTTCAATTTAGTGACTTATAATTTTTTATTAACTTTAATTTAAATATTTTTAAACTACTAATTCAAGTTTAATAAGATTAATCTATCAGTTATCTCATCAATCAGTGTTGTCCAGTCATCCTACTTTTCTGTCTGCTGCCATGGCCAGTGGGAATGTAGTCGACGCAACTCGACAACTACTTTTGATCTAATCCAGGGAAGACAGGTGTGTGAATAACCAAAGTGAGAGATATGTTAGAAGCGTCAACTCACAGATTTGGAGAAGCATCTTCTATGGTTTATGCATCACATTCCTTACCCATCAAGCTGAAAGGAACCCAAGAAACCATCTTCTTGGCTCCTTGCCATGGTAGTTGAGCCGGATGATCCAAACATATGCATCTGAGAACGTTATGTGATGTGATGTGGTTCAGGATATTGCAATGTATGCACCTGAAATCTCTGCATAATATCTATATTGCATTTTGTTGTATTCAGTTCTTTTCCTGGCCTTTCGGGGTTGGTTCGGCTCAGACCTCTGTGCAAATGGTGTTCTCGGAGGAAGATGACAGGTCCCTTTCGAGACAGCCTTCAAAGGTGCAACTGCAGGTAGAAGTAAAAGGCATTCAATGGATTGAGATGGTTCGGGTGAGCAAACTTGTCATCTTGCCAATCACAAAGCATTATGAACTTTCAAGTCTGTTGCCTGGCTGCTATCAAACACCCCCACTGATACGCTTGCGAGGTCAAAACACAATCAAACCGAGATGTTCTTCCTCCATTTTGGAGGTGTTCTAAGTCTGAATCCTTATGATCTAAGTAGTTCCCATGGCGAGCAGTTGCCGTAGGCGTCTGGGCCTCTCGATAGAATCAAGAGACTTTTCCAGCAGCGAATCCATGTTCTGCAAGTGCCAAAGTTAGGCATCAGACTGGAATAATATTTCTCATCTTGCTTGCCGTTCTAGAATGTCTTGGTCGGCACATACTTCAGTCCTTTCATCAGTTCATACTTTGTTGCAGAAGCCAAACAAGAGCGGCAACGTAGCAGGTAAGCCATCCATCCCTGCTATAAAACTGTGAAACGTGCACTAAACACACCCTTCCTTCCTTCGTTCGTTCGAGAGAGAGAGACAGAGAGAGCTTGTGGTCACTTTTTTCTCCTCCTTGTCTGCTAAAATGGGACTTTGCCCTGTTTGCTGGAGAGAAGCTTTTAGAAGGATTTAATGGTAGGAGTTCAAAATTTGCGATGATACCAAACCATTTGTCAGTTCCCAGTTGAATTGACAGAGTTCCAAACGTGACAGCCTCATTGTTGTCAGTGTAAATGAGGTGCAGCTTAAGCTAAGATTTTTCACTGCTTGATGTTGATATGCATGTGTTATTTCTCTGCTATTCTTATAGTGTTAGGCACGTTAGGCGTAACCAAGTCTCGTATTAGTCACCAGAAAATTTCCGTGCCTTCACAAGTGTGCACTCTTTTTGACTTAATATTTTTCTCGTCTCCTGTCATCGAGACCTTCATGAAATCATGTATTGGCCACACCAGTCAATGTGATTATAATTATAGGTTGGTGAACACCGTCCAAGATATATAGGCTATGAGATATCAGCTTAACGGAGCTAACCAAACTCCAACAGGAACTCATCTCCCTCCCTCTCTCTTTTCTCTCTCCTCACTTGACTTTGGTGATGGAGGGTGAAGAAGACAGGAGGACGATCTCAAAGAAGCATGTTGCTGGATTTGCGATCCCTTGGGTCCCCTTGATCCTTATTCTTCTCGGCTTTCCTCCTGCCTCTCGAGCTGCGTCGGACTACCGGGACGCGCTATCCAAGAGCCTGCTCTACTTCGAGGCGCAGCGCTCCGGCCGCCTTCCTCACGACCAGCGCGTCGCGTGGCGCGGCAACTCCGGCCTCACCGACGGCCTCGAACAAGGGGTCGGTGTTTCCCAGCTCGCAGGCTTGACGGTCTGCGCACCGTCCACGTTCCTCGTGCTCATCTTCTCGAGGCTTTCGCTTGCAGGTTGACTTGGTCGGAGGGTACTACGACGCCGGAGACCACGTCAAGTTCGGTTTACCGATGGCTTTCACGATAACGATGCTGTCGTGGAGCATGGTGGAGTATGGCGACGGTGTCGCGGAGGCTGGAGAGTTGAAGCACGCGTTGGAGGCCATAAAATGGGGGACCGATTACTTCATCAAAGCCCACACTCAGCCAAATGTCTTCTGGGCTCAGGTAGCCATCGCAGACACGTCCTGCGACAGCTTCGATTTAGATGGCGTTGGACATCCGATCATCTTCTTCTTGGATCAGGTCGGAGATGGTGACACCGACCATTACTGCTGGCAAAGGCCGGAGGACATGACGACGTCGAGACAAGCTTACAAGATCGACGCGGAGCATCCGGGATCGGAGGTCGCAGGAGAGACGGCAGCGGCAATGGCGGCTGCATCCATGGTGTTCCAGGTGATCAACCCACATTACTCCCACGTCCTGCTGCACCATGCTCAAGAGGTTCGTTCGCTTCGTGCAATCGAGCAGCCGGCCATCTCAGCTTCTTCTAACCCAAGGATTCATCCACGACCTGTCGGCGTTGCAGTTGTTCGCGTTTGCCGACGAGCACAGGGGGAAGTACGACGACAGCATCGGGGCGGCCGTGAAGAGCTTCTATCCGTCGGTGAGCGGCTACGCCGACGAGCTGCTATGGGCGGCGCTGTGGCTCCACCGGGCGACGGGGAGGGAGGAGTACTTGGATTACGTGATCCGGAATGCTGATGAGCTCAATGGAACTACATGGGCGATATCTGAATTCAGCTGGGACATCAAATATGCTGGTCTTCAGATTCTTGCTTCCAAGGTAGATTTCTCTTCTTCTTTTTGATCCAAATTGACTTTGCCTTAATCATTGATCCTAAAATTCTACTAGTCTTTTTAGAATAGTCTTCTCGAAAAGAAAAGAAAATTACTATATATATATATTCAATAATTTTATCATATGACTTTTTCCCCTCATAATAAAATGTTGATGGTGATATAGTAACTAAAGATGCTGCAAATTGACAGAGATAGGTGATGGAATTTGTCCACATACATCCATATTAAGTGCAACACCCTATCATATGCATCATGCCAACACCAATGCATGAATGTTTTCTTTGCATAAATTTTCTCTATCCAAATGAACACTGTCCAATAAACTCAACATGTTTGGTGTGGAGAATTGAGGGGAAGAAAGATGCATGAACAGAGTCCTACAAGTTTGGCTTCTAAGTGTCCAACTATATGACACCTGACTAGAAAACTATATTTGCAGTTATTATTATCAATGGATTCAAATATACAATTGATACATGATCAAAATTGGTCAAACCTCATCTCTATGGAGGACGCATGGCAGTGAGTTTGGTCAACCATGGCCACGCAGCACCGACTATGGTTAGGCAGGATATGGAACTTTTGTTGTGTTGGTGGAAGACCTCAACATCAAGTTAGGAACTGTTCATGAGAGGTTGGTGGAAGGCCTTTCCAAAGCTGAAGTGGTTGAAACGCAAGGAGGGGTTGAAATAGCAACCCCAAGTTTTGGATCCTTATACTGAGTTAGAACTCAGCTATAAACGAAGAAAGGAAGGAATAGCTAACCTGAAGTCTTTTTTCTCTCTAGATTGAGACTTTGCTGAAAATAATGGAGCTAATCTCTCAATTTGTTTGTCCAAATGGACACACAACCTACTTGGAATTGACACATTTTGTCTGGGCTCTTTGTTCCAAAGATAGATAGATTATTATCATTGATTACTAGTTTAATCCAATTGACATCAAAGTTTCTTCTTTTAAAGGAAAATTATATGTATATAATACTGTATCTCAGTTGTTGATGGAGAAAGGAAAGGATCTACAAGCGGAGCAGAAGACGGTGTTGGAGGAGTACAGGTCAAAGGCTGAGCACTACTTGTGCTCCTGTCTCAACATGAACGGCGAGGACGGCTCCAACGTCCACCGCACGCCCGCCGGCCTCCTCTTCGTCCGCCACTGGAACAACATGCAGTACGTCGCGGGCGCCGTCTTCCTTCTCACCGTCTACTCCGACTACCTCGCCGCCTCCAACCAACGCCTGCACTGCCCACGGGGTTCCTTGGGCTCTCGAGACCTCCTGGCCTTCGCCAAGTCCCAGGTGGACTACATCCTGGGCGCCAACCCGGCCGGGGTCAGCTACTTGGTCGGTCATGGAGCGAGGTACCCGACGAGAGTGCACCACAGGGCCGCTTCCAGTGTCTCGTACAAGGAAGACAAGTCGTTCATCGGCTGCTCCCAGGGATACGACGAGTGGTACGGCAGCCGGAGTGAGAACCCGAACGTGCTGGTCGGAGCACTGGTAGGAGGCCCCGACGACACAGACGAGTTCAGCGACGCGAGAGGGAATCACATGCAGACGGAGGCGTGTACTTATAACACGGCGCTGATGGTCGGAGTGTTTGCGAAGCTCAGTGAATTGGAAGGACGCAGCAGCAGCAGCAGCAGCAGAAAACTTCATCATACTAATAGCATATTGTCTAAGGACATGTAAAAGCAATATAAAGTGCATTTTTCCCCCCTTTTTTTTTTCCATTTTACACAATTTTTTTTTTTTTTCTTTATGGGGTTCAAAATGTGAATCTTGATGTTTCTTGTGTAAAAAATACAAGAAAAGAATATACTGAGACAATTATCTACTTTTATTTTGTATTTAAAATAAAATTGTTATACATATAATTTATGTTTATCAGACGAATTATCTACTTCAATTATAAGACTATATTAATGTATTAAGACATAAAAGAAAAGAAATATGCATCCGACCCAATATCTATCTTAACGGGTCGGTCAAAACGGCTATTAGTGTTCAGTACCGAGATAATCGGGTTATCGGGTCGAGCGACGACATATTTCGATCATTCCGTTCGTCCCGTCAAACACCACCCGATGGAGGAAGCGAAGGCGGCCGCCTACTACGACGAGCTCAGCCGCAAGGGCGAGGGCGCCGCACGCTTCAAACAGGGCCTCGGCTTCTCCTCCTCCTCCACCACCACCTCCAACTCCGACCGCTTCCCATCCAAACCCAAGACCTCCTCCTCCTCCCTCTTCTCTACCTTCATCCGCGCCTCGAGCCCTAATGCGAAGCCCCCTGACGAGCAGCACAGCAGGCAAGCCCGGCTTGAGGTCATCCAGAACAAGCTCAATAAAGAGCGCCGCCACCACGATTACCGCCGCTCCCTCTCCCCTTCACCCGACCGCGATCGCCGCCGCCGCCGCAGCAGCAGAGACCGAGACGACTGCCGCTCCCCTTCTTCTTCTCCCGACCGCAATCGCCGTCGCCGTCGCAGCCGAGACCGGGACGACCGCCGCTCCGGTGATCGTAGGCGCCGTTCTCCGAGCCGCGAGAGTCGGAGGGAACCGGATGGCCGTGGATCTAGCCACCGCGGCCGCGGTTCGCGCGACCGAGATGAGGATTCCTCCCACTCCAGAAGTAGAAGACGGAGTTGGAGCCGATCCCCTAGGAGGGAATCCCGCGGTGCGGATCGAGAGCGAAAGGGTGGGCATGAAAAGGAAAGGGGTGGAGAGAAGCATAGGAGCGCGAGCGCTAAGAATGGTGGTGGTGTTGATTATTCTCAGTTAATCGAGGGTTACTCAAACATGGTGTGTATTTCTATTTCTTCTTTTGATACTCTTTTTTGTGGCTTCTTCCTTACATATATGAGCAAGTTTTCCTTGGGCTTATTTAAAAGGTGTTCACTTCTTGGGGCTGATTTTTACATTGCTAGACCTTAGCCATCAAAAAAATTTGCCCTTTGATCATTTTTTGTATCTGAAAATGCCATGAGGTGGTTCTTGATCTTCTTTGTATTTGTAAACTTGTTATGCTCGTCCACATCTGCTTGAACTTTAAAAAGATTACATAAAGTGACACTTAAAATTATAGATAAAGATGCAATATGTTTACTAATAGCTGAAAAGTGGATGCCATGCTTATACTGATGCAATACTAGGATATATGATTATATCAGCAACTGATCCTTTATATCTGTCATACTTGATCATGTACTGTTCTATATCATCCATGGATTTAGACCACCATTTCCCATATTAGCTATTGAGAGTCCTAAATCAGCTAGGACTGTGTTAAGGAGGGTAACAGCTGAAAACATGTTGCCAAGTTGAAATAGGAGAAAAGGGAAGATCCTAATAGTCCATAGAGTAGAATGGGCAGAAGAAAAATCTACAATTCGCTGAAAAATTCGTCCTGCTAAAAGTTGATGATGAAGCAGCTTACCAACTGCTTGTTGGGTCAAATAGATAGTGCAAATCCTGCAGGACCTTTTTGGTTGATGCAAGGGCCACTCGGGGGTGAACGCCCTCGACACCTCTATTTTATCATAATTGGAGCATGTTTTTATCCACTAAACGACACTTTTGGTTCTAATAAATCGAGATAAACAAGTTTTTCAAATTCTTGAAGATCATGTTGCCCATCTATGTCTTGATTTCTACACATTGAAGGAACATTGTACTTGACTGAATAAAAGAATGTAAAGCTAGCAGAGCAGCATAACCATGCCTCTTCGTTGTAGTTCTGTTTCACTTCTAGGCAGCTTTATGCACATCTATGTTCAATCTGGGCATTCAGCAATTTGTGTTGTAAAACCAGAACTATTATGTAGGCTCCAGGCTTACTGGATAAATTCCAATCATAATTTATTTCTTATTCCAAAGAATGCTTCCATTACGAAGTAACGGTTGAGATCTGAAACATAATCTCACGTTTTTTGTACTATCAACTCACTGTAATGTGCTAATAAAATGGTCTTCCCTGTTTGTTGACTTGCATAAATTTTGTTTTCTCTCTTTTCCCCATTCCACTATGACATGTAGTCATTAGTCATCTATGAGAGCCCTTTCTTTCCTTGTGTAGGCTGAGGCCTTTTCTTCTGTTGATTCTTATATAAGATTTTTGACTCATGATAATGTGTTTTCAACATATTTTGATTCTTATCAGACACCAGCTGAAAGAGTTAAAGCAAAGATGAAGCTTCAGCTCTCAGAAACTGGTAATTACAATTTCTTATTATTGACTTCTGTATTTTTTGGGGTGCTTCCATTAACCCTCGTACATGACACCTAACAAGAAGAATTCACGATGGTTCCTTAAAGGAAAGTGTGAACATTGCTTCTTGTGGATGCTTCCAAATATGAAAATATTTACATTTGCTATGATTTCTATGGTACTTAGAGCAAATAATTATCAGTTAGCTTCTTCACATTGGCTATGATTTCTATCGTACCTTAAGCAAACAATTTTATGCTTTGGTTTTGCAATAGTCTAGTTTCCTTTAGTGTCTTGAGCTCAAATTACTAGGAGGTTAACTAGAGGTCAGATGAGGCTTGAAAGGCATACATGGTGATATTGATTGTTCTCGTCATAAGCACAACCATAGCTGGAAGTGTCAATGACTTCTGCAGTGAAAATGAGAGCTGTCACTGTAGAGTTCGCCAGGGTGAGTGTTGCCATCAGATAAGTTCTTAAATTGGTAGACTCATGGGGATCAGAAAAGGTATTTGAGTGACGGCTCGATTTTTGGTTAGATCAAAGTCGAAGTAACCCCAGTTTCAGGTAATTCTTCGAGGTTGGTAGACAATAAAAAAGCTAAAGTGCAGAATGTTGATGTGTGTCTTCCTTTTGCTTCAATAAACAGGAGTTTCTTGGACTTTCGTTGGTGACCACTAGAAAAAGAAAGGAAATGAAAGGTGGTATATCTCTCCTTTAGAGTTAGCATGGCAAATTTTGGTGCTGACTCAATGTTCACTGGATAATTCTTGGGTATGGGTGTGGCTATGGAGCTAGGGAGTGACCAAGTACTTTGGCTAGAGGAGAGGGGAAGGTGGTTAGGACAAAAAAGTGAGCAAGGAGAGGATGATTAACAGACCTTTTTTTTGTTGGATCTGTCTCAAACTTGTACTGGGTGCACTTTTGTTCTCTGACTCATGAATTTTCGGAACATGTCTCTCAATATGTGATTTTATATTTAGTCTTCAGAATTTTATCCTGAAGCCTCAATTTATTTTTTGGGGTGGTAACTTGGTTTACTATGGGATGAGTTTTTATACTATTAACTGCCCACATAAGTTTAGTGCTTCTTGTACTTGTTGTACTATAATTTTCTGTTTATTATTTTGGTATTGAACACAGTTACTGTAGGAATAATTTGAAGACTTGTCATCCCTATTATTTCCTCAGAGTATCTTTCTCGTCTCAAAGAGAAGTACAAATAGATAAAAATGGTTACTCATAATGTATAAATGTGACATGTTTCCTCCATACAATCAATTGGTTTCTGGAATCAAAATATTAAAATTTTGTATTGATCTTTATTGCTGTATGAAGTTACGTACTAATTTACAATTTAAATTGCTTTTTTGTGAATTTAAAATATTTCTGGGACTGTAGTTTCTACCATGGAATGCAATTTCGAATAGTACCACCCGGTACGGGCGGTACATACCAGTTCGACGGCATATCGGTATGCGGACCGTTCACTATCGAGCGGAATGTGCTACAGTACTACAGTGTTATACTGTAGTACTGCTACAATGCTACAGTAAGAGGAAGAAATATTTAAAACCACTCGACACGCCCTGGTGTATCGCTCGGTGCGCGGTATCGTACCATACCGAACCAACCTCGAAACACCGGTACGGTACGGTATCGCATACCTTGATTTCTACTATTTATATCTTGATTGCATTCATAATCAAATATGAAATGACCTATCTGTTATTTACTGATGGCTTAAATTCTGTTTTGATATTTAATATTACTGTATGAAGCTTACTCATTTACAATTTAAAACATTTTTTTGTAAATTCAACATATTTCTTAGTAGGTAAATTCTAGCACTAATATCTTGAATGTATACATAATCAGATATGAACCAGTCTATATGTACTAATGGCTTAAATTATCAATTTATTGCAAACATAATTGGACAGTTCATGTTTATTAAAGATGAATATAATGACAAGAGTTAGTCTTCACAGTTGCAAAGGATACAGATAGGGGAATGGGCAGTGGATGGGAACGGTTTGATTTTAACAAGGAGGCACCACTTGATGATGATGATGAAATTGAAGGTTAGAGTTTACTTATATTTCTTCACTTTTTGATTTAACAACTGAGTCAGATATCTGCAGTGAATTAATACTTTGACATGCTCGTTCATACTCTTTTGCAATTAATCTTTTGCAAAATGTGATAACCTTGCACATTAATTTTTAAGATATGATTGATTTATTATGTAGCTTATTCTGCTGACTTTAATGCTGTAGAAGTTTTTTTTATATTATGAATGTATAGTGTGTGAGTGATGCATCTACTATACATAGTGGGGTGTCGAAATCTCACAAAGACTCACTTATCAAAGGTTAAGGGTTTGAAACCTCATCTGACATGTTTACCAGGTTCTAACCTCATCCAACATATTTTTCTTCACCGCTTACCCTTTACCAAAAAAAAAAACGATTTTGAATGCATATCATATAATCACCTGTTGAATATGAAACTAATGGCCTCAGGGAGTCCAGAACTTAGCTTCTTTGCTTGCTGGTACAAAAGCCTAATCCAATATAATAGGTATACAAATAAGGGGGTTCAACTTAGAAAACAGAGTAGATCTGGCCCCTTCCTATGGCTGTAGTGTCTTAGTCCCAAAGTCAGTCATCAATCCTAATCACGAAGACAACCTGACATTGATTCATCCAACAACATGAATCTCGAGGAGAGAGAGAAAGGGTTCAATGATGAAAATCCTCAGGGTTGTGTCAGACCTCTGTGCCTCATCTGGGATGAGAAGACTGCTGCTGTTGTCCTCTCGGTAAGGTGTCTCTGACACTTGGAGTTAGCTGAATAGATTTCCTGAAAGTGGCTAGTAGAGAGAAGAAAGAGAAACCGCCTGCACCGTGGTTAGGACCCTTGTCTATAGCTTGGGGTCTTTAATCGTTTATGTTCAGGGAAATATTTTTTGAATCATCCTTGATAGGATATGAGGAACATATTCGGTTGCGATTTGTGATGACATGTCAGATCTGACCATCCTGTATCGTGTTTTCTGTCTGGTTGGCATCCACGTGTCAGGTCTTGATATGGCAGCAAATATTGCTCCAATCACAGTGTAGCCTCTATCGTCTGGATCAGTGCTTTTATCAGGCTAACAGCTACCTCTGTGGCATCTAAAGACACCTATCATTATAGTAGGTCATCAGCATGGTCTCAGCCTTGTGCTGCTCTGTTGGGTTCTTGACATATATGAACAGTAATTAACATGTGACATAAGTTTTTTTCTTTTTTTTTGTTGGCAGGATGGAAGGAGAAGTAGATTGTGTAAGTCCTAATTAATGAACTATATTCTGCATGATATGAACTTAATTTAGGGTTATTTGTTATAGTGTAGTAGAAGTTATCTACTGGGAATTGTAGGTAAGTCCCAAGTTCCAAACGAATTAGATTTGGTTTAAAATACTTCTAGTATGTTTCCATGCAGGATGCATTGGAGTTGGGAATTCAAGTTTTGATTTTTCTTTCACCAAGTGTAAGTTAAAGCAGTCTTAAGGACTCCTGAACTTGTGAGGGTCAAAGTGAGAAACTTGGAAGTCAAAATGTCTCTAGGAGGAAGAAAAGAACTGGTGTAATTGAAGGAAACAGTTTTAGGTACAATTTTCTGCAATTTCAGCAAGATGTATCCCATATGTAGATTGATCTTCCGGGACATGGTTTACATTTAATATGTAGGTTGAGATATCTGAGCCAGAAATCCTGGTTAGCAGGGATGATAATCATGTGACATTGACATCCACTATCGAGATGATGGTGAATCCATGACCGACCCGGCCATCTAACACTGTCTTATGATCTCTCAGTTTGCCTCTATGTACATAAGGTCACAGCAGGTCAAGTTAGCAAGGGCTTGACTCAAGTGCGACAAAGTTGAGGTGCAGTAGTGTATTTGTGGTCTACAGCTTCAAGAATCCAAAGGATATGCGACCAGAAAGTCATCTGTTAAGCCTCTGTTACCATTACCGGAATATATGAGTCAGGCTTTTGGTTATCTAGTTGGATCTTAATAGCGCTTTCAGTACCATTTCTTAAAAAAAATTAATGTGCCTTGACTCTCCTTTGTTGTACCTGTACAATGTAGATAATTTTCTTTTATGCTTGTAAAACAATAAGAACTATTTACCAATACTCAAGTTGCTTTCGCCTCCAGCGGCAGACGATGATGCCTCACTAGTAAAGAATATTGGAAAGAGTTTCAGATATTCTGCAGTTGAGGTACAACTACTTGGTAGTTAGAACTGTCATATCAATTATCAGAGTGTAGGGTATATGTCAAACTGTTATCTCTGTTTTAGGCCAAGCGGGAGGAAGAAATCAAGGCTGCTCATGACAACGCCATGTTTGGAGCATCTGCTGCATGTGCTGATTCCCCAGTTCTTGAAATGGAATCTGTTCATGTTGATGTCACAGAGGATGCTAGCGACAAGACTATCACGGATTCTCTAGTAAGCGACAAGGTAAAGCCTTCCATAATCTTTGGCCTCCAAAGAACACATGATTGGTAATTCTCCTACTAATGTGGCAGGTGATTGCGATGCAACAAAGTTCTTGGCGAGATCGAGCTCGCAGGTTCCGAAACGACTCAGATAGTTGAAATTCCTCTTGAACGAATGCCAGGAGCTCGTATGGAACCAGCCGGAGATGTGATCACAGTTTTTGGCCACATCTGGCATTAAACAACATCTTAACATGAAATCCCCCGAAGAGGACTTGCTGAAGAAGGGAACCGTTGGTGTTGAAGGAGATGTAAAGGCATTGTAGAGTGAGTTTTTATTGCAGCTTTCTTGATTGCAATCGTTACTGGAATCTTAGCGTTATTTTTTATTTGGATGTCATCATGTATCTGTAGTTTTAGCAATTCCCTTCTCGCCAATGATGACATACATGAGGTCAATTCAGATGATATTTACCGAATATTGCGACACATTTATAGCTTAAATGTGACACATCATGTTTCATCTCCTTCCTGTTTTAAATGATATATAGATACAGTCGCGGACAAGGCTGTTTCATCTCCTTCCAAAATGTTGTACACACTTACAAGTTAGTAATTCTTATGTTTAACCTTTAATTTTTAATTTTTGATAAGTATTAAAATGAATTTTGGATGTTTTGAATTATAATATTTCTAAAACTTATTAATAATCATGATTACTAGAGGTTGATCTGAATTTATTGGATGATCGTTGAATATACTAAAGATTCGAATATTTATATATAGGTCTAAACATTTTGGAGGATAAATATGCAACTCCATACTTTAAAAGGTTGTACATTTTCAATCCCCCC